GGCGAGCGATGTTCGCCGAAGCAGACACCGAGTGGAAAAAAGTCAAGGGTGGTCAAGCACGATCTGGCACGAGGGTATGGAAACCCTAACCAGGAGACTGGGTCACATAGGTAGGTCCTGTTAGGCTCCCTGGCTGTGGACCTCGGGATGATTGTGACCGATGGTTAGAGACACTGAGGGATATGGCTGGGTGTCGCAACCAGTGGCGTTCGTGCATCTTCTCAACTTCTTTGCAACCTTAGACCACTGAACCTCTCCATTTTCTGTTCGACCCCACTTTCAACTTTCCTTTCTTCTCCTAGTCTTCATCCAAAAGACAGCAACCAAAACTGGCGCACGAATATGCGTGTTTGATGGTTGTACAATCTGAAACTGAAACTATTGCCGTTAGTAATATACCCTTTTTAGGAAATATTCAAAGACCAAAAGCGGTAGCGAAACCGTTAGTCGGTAATTCGAGAGTCCTTCTGGGAGCCGTTATTTCCCCAAATTTATTTTTAACATTCGTCGGTGACCGTCTATCTGGTCAGCAAGATATATATGCTGATAATATGGTTCTGTGTCAAGCCATCTCAGAACAGACTAACATGGAATTATTTTTTGACGGTTTATCACAAGTGCAAATATTCTCAAACCAATCTGGCCTCCAATTGAATGCTTCCAAATGTTTCGAATGTTTTTTAATCTTTTGTGATCTGTTCATCCTTTTCAGAGTGAGGCATTCACCTATATATTCTCTTGTTTATCATTATATCTTCCCTATCATATCTCACTGTTGCCCTGTACGATTTCTCTAATCTGATGAGGACTAGTGTTTATGGGAATAGGAGAAATGTGGCTGATAATTGCCAAGCCACCGTAAAGAAGAATGGGTTTTTCCAAGGTGATAACCGTTGACCGTGTAGCTCAAGGGTAAGGGTTTAGAGTCCCGACCCGATTGTTCGCGGTTTGAGTATTAAGAGGGACACAAAAGTACGCACTGCTGACAAGTCCCAAACGGGACGAAACAGCTTTTCAGTACTCTTCGTCAGTCATCACAAAGATTCCCAAAGTTTTTTTATTTGCTCTATCTTATTTTATTCTGTCATTTTATAATTGCCACCATTTTGGCGTTGTTCCTGACCGAAGTCACGCACCCGGTTAATATTCGAATTACATATCATTCGGTTATCTATTCTTTTTTACTCACTCAGATTGTCCTAGCTCGCGTTGTACAAGGGCGTAGTGAACCGGAGAAATCCAATCCAGACGGCGATCAAAATACTCCCATGTCCGAATCTGTATTGCCTGACGCGCTTTGTTTGACACGTGACCACAATCCAGTAGACTATGAAGAACGACAACGCATTCAAGCCACGGGAGCAACTGTACAAAATGGACGGATAAATAATGTGTTAGAAGTCAGTCGTTCGTTTGGGGATTATCAGTTTAAGAAGCAAGGTGTAACGTGTATTCCGGACGTAAGAAAATGTCAACTGACATCCAATGACAAGTGAGTTTGGAAGTTTTCATACTTTATGCAAAATAAATTTGGCCTTTTCAGGGGATTTTTAACCTAACTGCATCGTTTACTGCTTTTATCTCTTAGATGACGTGCTTTGACTTTAGCATAAGGTAGCTCCATAGATGAATATACAAAGAACTATGGTATGTTTGAAAGTGACTTCCCATATGCCATTCAGCCTACCAACTCCACTCTCTGACGATGGCCGGCTCTGCGCACATCACTGCGTTTGGTTGCCTTTTTAGTGAGCCTATCGCTTGTCAGACGAAAAACCGCCACATCTTCAGAGTAGAACAATCCGTGTAACAAGAACGTTGGTTCATGATTTACTCAAATTCAAATTTTTATTATGGGATATAACTTACAAAGACTTCGCTTTTACAAATCCCATAGGGTGTTTACACATTGGTTCGGATGAAGAATCACAATATCACAGTTAGTCCATGAAAGTAAAATAGTAAAGTAATGTTTTGACGAGCACAGGAGAATATGTTATGTAGTTGGGTGTTGAAATGTAACGTTTTCCAGGGCATCATCAAGCTGACGCTTGAATGATACTAATGTTGGGGCACAGACAACGTGAGCTGGTAGGGAGTTCCATGTGCTGCACACTCTGACTGCAAACGAGTGACGTCTGCAGTCGAGACGGCTCTTTTGGTGTG